CTACACTTAGGAGAAGACATCAATCTTTTGGTCGTGTCATGTTCTCATACCAATATTGGTGTCCATTTCACCACTTTTCTATTGAGTCTCACCTAATACTTTTCTGTTGAGTCTCACCTAATACCTCTACTTTAAGTTCTTTTGTAGTCTCTTCTTCCTTTTAAGCTTCATCTTTTTAATATTTTTTCCTTTGAGATTCTTCTTCTTGAGACTCTTTCTCTTTCTCCTCTTCAAAGAATAATGATGAGGATGATAATGAGGTATTTGAGGCTATTTTTTTGTTTCTTTAATTGTCTTAATGAGTAGGGCTTATTGGTATACAACATAGACAAAATAACAATGATGCAACATAAAATAACGAGAAAATGTCAAAATAACTTTTGTACCATATATATTGTCTTTTCCCTTCTGCTAACTGAGTGAGGTAGTGATGCAACATAAAATAACGGGAAAATGTCAAAATAACTTTTGCACCATATATATTGTCTTTTCCCTTCTGCTAACTGAGTGAGGTAATATTAATAGTTGTCAACAAGATTTCAGAACACATTCTCTTTATTTGGATTCAAATGAGGAGTAACTTTATCTATAATAAAAACTCTTCAAATTGGAGAACATCCCCATACTTTTATAGTAGAGGTTATAGAACTATTATAACACACTATGATCCAATCACTCCTTTAATTATATTTAATTATTTACTAATAGTGACTTGCCTTGAAAAATATCTTTTAAGGGATTTTGTGTTCTTTTTTCAGTAAAGGTGTAAAACCATGTCATATTTTTTTAGCTTCAAGAGAACTAAAAAGGCTCTATCAATATTTAAATAAGTTAATAGTGGAATTTTAACTTTAAGTCTTAGGTATTTGTTAAAAACTACTATATTCATCCATCTTTTTTAGTGCAACTTACCTATAAATAGGTTATAGTAGGAAAATACATCTTTAACAAAATTATATAAGGAAAAGAAATATTCAAACTTAAACATACATATAGTTATTATGATCTCAATATTTTTGGTTGCTGCCTTTAATGTTCTACCTAGTCTTTCAAGGGAAAGTGGAGTCCTAACATTATACCTTTTTTGTTAATCATTAGTTGATTAATAGCATTATCAGCTACAATGCTCTTACATGGATTATGAGGTTGAGATGGGTTAGGTGTAGGTGTAGAAGATAAATGCACCCTATAATAAGATCTGGCCCTCTAAAGTCATCTCAACTAAAGATTTTGTTTTTTTATCCAACCAGACATCTTAAAAACAAGTAGAAAAATCAAGAGAAAAAGAGTAAGGGTCCTCACTATATCTCTTCTAACAAAAAATTCATCATAAAAAATTCAAAAGAAAGAAGAATGAGATGTTAAAGTGGAGAAGAAGAAATTATTTTTTATAACAATGATTCCACCAACAACTATTAAAGTGGTTCTAACATGCCCACGTGAAACAATCATCACGTATCAAGATTTATTAGATAATTGCTATCGTCATAGTGAACCAAGTTATCTAGCATTGTTACACACACACACGCATGCATATGTGTGTGTGTGAAAGATGTCTTGTAATTGATGACATGGATGCAGGATTTAGTTCCTACCAATGAGATTCCTAAGATAATTGTCATCATCATAGTGGACCAAATTCTCCAGCCTTAGCCTTATCATGTGCACAACCATGTGAAAGAAGTCTTGTGACTTCTAACGTAGACTTTAATTACTATCAATGTCAGTTAAAATATCATTAGTTTTCCTTGTAATTTCATGTTATTCCTTATACACATATCATTTGTTTCTCTCTTATTGCATATAGTTTATATATATCAATTGTTTCTCCCTTATTGCATATGGCTTTATGATAAAATAATTGTTTAACAATGCTATGTTAAAAATTTATTTTGAAGAACAATGGATGATGATAAAATAAAATAATGAACTAGGTTAGGCTTTGGCCTAACAAAGCCCTAGTACTCAGTTAGCTCTTGGCTCAACCAAGCACCTATATTTGGTTGGGCCTTGGCCCAATCAAGGTTCAACACTTGGTTGGGCCATGACCCAACCATGGCTCAACACTTGATTAGGCTCACGCCTAATCGAGTTTTTTTTTTTTTTTTAATGATAAGCTACGAGTCTAGAATAACTCTACTTGAAGACATAACAAAAGAACATGATTGCCACCTTAGGGGTGAAATATTTTTTTTCTTACATATCTAGATTTTTTTCATGCTTTTTTTGGATATAAAATGCTAGATTTTAGCAAGAGAAAAAGGACTCTCTATGAAGACAAGATATAGAAAAAAATATCAGACCTCTTTTTATTCACTTTCTTTCCATTATCACTACTTAAAAACCCTAAATTGATTTTGACATCATAGGGTTTTTTGTTGCAAATAACAACTCCAGTCCATACAACAATCATCCTGAAAAAGAGCTCAAATTCAGTGAAGTGAGTTTCAAGTGAAAAAGTTTATTCCTTGAATAATTGGCATTAATGGAGTTCGATCGGATCCATATTTTTCCAAGACTAAAAAAATCCCAGAAGTTATCGGGGGAGTAAAGTTACATGCATGTCTTTTAATCATCCCATGATTTCATTTTTTTTGTAACAATGCTCTCTTCAAAGTTTCAAAACAGAATGGAATTTTCTATTGTGCATGAGTTTTCTATTTTCTAATTAAATTAAAGTAGTTTTATTTGGTTGTTTGACGAAACAATCAGCTGTGTTAATTCGCTTCTCAATCCAAGTGATGGATTCAAAAGCAAATTTTATAGAACATTTTTTGAGAAAAAAATGAAACAGTACCCTACAATTAATATTCTTACACTATGCAAATAAATATAAAAGCAAAACAAGATGTAATTAAGGGGGAAAATATGAAAACATTAAAAATAGAAACAGGACAGACCTTCCATCGCGTCACATTTTACTCAACTAAATGGATAATTTTGCCTTTCCAAACTTCACACTTGCTTGTGATTTCACTCTCATGTCACCTCCGTTTCACCTATCGTGTTTTCCATGCATTAATACCGATTTAACATGCGCAGAATGTTGACGAAGTTGTGGAATCCTGAAGAGAGATCACAGTTTCGAAAGCACCGACCAGAGCTTTCACCTTACTCTTCCTGCTCTCGACAAGCTTACATGCAGTCTCCTCAATCATGTTATTTAACAAACTCTGCACAATTTTCTTTTCTTGCACATCTTTCCGTCTCAAAACAATTTTCTCAGATTCCCTTTTTGCAATATTAGCTTCACCTTCACAAACTTCTTTGTTCTTAAGGTTGTTCTTGCTGGTATCAACTTCATCCATCTGACCATCGTTAAGAGCTCTTCTCGTAAATTTGAGTCTTTTTGTAGTGCTATTTTCAGGATGGAGTTCAAACACCTTTCCTGACCTAAAGCTCTCCTTTATGGCTGCGGAATTTTTGTCTGTAGTGCAAAATACTCCACCCTTCTTAGGCCTAGTCTTGGATGGAAGTTTGTTTGCAACTGTGTTCATAGTATCACTTTCATGGTATTCACAGGAGGCACTGCTATGGGAAGACTTGAATAGCGTAGAAGAAGATAAGGGTGCTCGACGGGTAACTCGAGTTGTTACATCCTTAATATGTCTAGTGAAATTCTTCTCAGTGGATTGAGGCAGCTGAGTAGCATGAATTCCTTTTCTAGTGCGCACCAAGATCTTCTCAGCAGGAGGTGCTGACAACCCAGCATTGAGAGTTCCATTTCGAGACAGTTTCATAGCTTTGTTCTCATAAGTATCTTTTTCAGCTTTTACAACTTTATTTTGGCCCTTTGGTCGAGAAACTCTTTTCACAGAATGTTTGGGAATCACAGAAACAACTTTCTTGACCGATGAAGAAAGAGCTGGTCGTACCAACACCTTCCTCTCACCAGCATCTTTTATCTTGAAAGGTAATGAAAGCTGTTCTGATAGTACAATCTTTTTCTTAGTTGATGATGAATTGTTTCTTCCAATAACAACAGGAACACTGGAGTTGTGTCTTTTTGAACCAGGAGATGGAATACAAACAACAGAAAAAGTTCTTGGTCTTTCTGCTGAAGTTACTGTCTTCTTCGTCTCCCTGCCTTGCTTCTCTGTGATCCTCTTTAATATGGGATTGCTTGTCTTTGTTTCTGTATCATTTTTTATTCCATATTTGCAATAATCATGGCATGAACCAGTTGAAGATGCGAGATAGCGGGAAAGAATCCTCACTCTAGTGTAGGGGATAGTTATATCCTCAGTGGAGTATCTTCTTATATGAACACCTTCGGGCTTAATGTTCTCTGGAATTACTAGAGTAGAAGAATAATTCTCGTGGGTCGGAAAGACAGAATCATTCTCTAGAATTATTGACATTGAACTCCTCTCTCTGATCGCATCAATGCTGTTTTAAATCATTGCAGCTGAAATAAAAAAGGGAAAATTCCCAGCCCTGCAGCAGAGTGGAACATTTTCAATCGAGCGAGGCACGGTTAGGGAGAAGACAAAGCAAACTAAAAGGTAAAACTTCACTTCTTTTTTTTTTTTTTTCTCTCTTGGAATTTTGAAGAGAGAAACGAATCACTAAGCTTATCAATATTTACAAAGACAATGAATTGTATCTCAATTTTGTTTAGTATCTTTAGATTAGTAACATTTTCTTTGTAAGGGGAAGGGGGGGAAAACAAATGAGTTGTAAGCTTGTAAATAACTGATATTACTGTCTAAATTTTAGCTGGTTGGATACCCACCCAATTGACCAAAACAAGATGGGTTATCATTTTTTTTCCTTAATAGTTATTGTATTTTATTAGTCATTTATATCTCTAAGTTTTTATATCATATCAATATTATCAAATATGATTCAAATATATATATATATATATACACACACAGATATGTAAAATATTTATCTGTTTTGTAACGAAAAACAAGAATCAGAGATAATGAACAGTTAAAAATATCGAGTTTTTACGAATTCACCAGGCTTTCAACCTCAGAAAATCAAACACAAAACAATTATTTTTATGTAAAATCGATAGAATTAATCGAACTAGTTATGAAAAGCAATGTATTGAAATGCCTAATAAATTCTCAAAACAATAAAGAAGTCAAATAATCACAAAAGCGATGAAATTACGAACAGAATTCTTCTTGTCTCATCTTTTGTCAGTTTTCCCTTCCATCTCAGACATGCGTACAAAGAATATTATCATCTGATGAGATTATTAACGAGATCTTGAAAGCACCAGACAAGCGTATGCAGAGATCTAAAAATTCTCGTGCCCCTTGAGACAGAGAGGAGAGGGAGGGAGATGAACATATATATAGGCAAAAGCACTCGGTGTCAAAAACAATAATTTCATTGGCCATGGAGATGGCTTCAATATGGGAATGTCTGCTGGGAAGATAGAGGCTCTAAAATTAATGAGACCAGAAAATACTGCAAAGATGGTTAATAATTGATTTAAAAAGGATCATGATTAACAGCAACTATCAAGAAAAAGAAATGAAAACGAAGTCATACCTTCTTCTCCTTTCTCCGCAATGTTTTTCTAAAAAGGAAGCACAAACGTGTAGCCGCTTTAAACCTAGTGCTGAAGAAGATATATAAACAATGGCTGCAATGCGACTGCTGAGTTCTTGGGGCCAGGAGAAAAGGAAAAGGCGCGTTTTGCAGCCTTCCCAGGAGGGTGCTGCTGCTATTGGCACACCTAATGACAGAATAGATTTAACTAAAAGACCAAAATATCCTTCAAGCCTTACCTTAAAAGCCCTTCAAGAAAAGACTGTTTCTGTTCAAAAATAGAAAAAAAAACAGACACCTCTTCGGGTCTGTTCATGAATTAAGATTGCTTGGCAAAGTGATATTGATTATTTTTTAAAAGTGATATTTTTAAATATATTAAAATAATTTTTTATTTTTAATATTTTAATATGTGATTTAAAAATATTAAAAATGATCATTTAAAAAATTAAATTTTCACAAAAAAAAAAAAAAACAAGTGGAGCAGCAGTCCTAACTATTGTGTATTGATAACTACTACTACTACGTACTCCAATTTAATTGGATAACAAATTAAAGTTGGAAATCTCACTCTCTAGTCCCAGCAATTAATTTGGCTTTACCACCGAAGGGATTCTCTTGCTTTGGCTCAATCCTTTCTCTATCTTGGAGTCCTAACAATTAAAGGGATACCCTTCACAACTTGGATTCTATTGTAGTCTTTTCCTCAGAGTTTGGAGCTCACAATCCAATTTGGGTTTCCTATGCGGGCCACTGACGTCATCAACAAGACAGGATTGCAGTTTGTGATCTGCGAAGACATGCTAAGGAGAGAATGACATTATGGCACTTCCGATCTGTCATTAGTTAAGCAGGTTAAACCATGAGAATTATAGTTTTCATTATGAATTAATAAAATAAAATTATTTTAATTTTTTAGAATTATATTAAATAATTTAAAGTTGTTTAAAGATTTATTATCTAAATATTTTTTAATTTTAAATATTTTTTTAAATATGTTTATCATAAACTATAAGTTATCAAATTATTTAGTTTTAAATAATAATCTATATAAATTATCAGTAAAAAATTTCATAAATCCCTATATAAGAGAGTGGTTGTTATGTCTAAAATAATAACTCTTATTTTATGTTTTTGTAATTTTTTTGTTTAACCGGCAACCTCATAAAATAAAAGACATAACTTCTTATTAAGAAAATATAAGAAATTTTATTAATTAATAAAATATCAATTTATCACCTATATTAATTTAAGATAATTTTATAAATTAATTCAATCAAATCTTTACTTAATTTCTATAGGTCTAGAAATATAATCCACGTATTAATTATATTTTAGTCCTCAATTTTTAAAATATATTTTAATTAAATTATATTTAATTAAATCATCTCAATTTAATTTTTTACTAATGATTCTTAACATATACCCCATCAAGTTCCTAATATATTGGTCCAAATATAAATTATAATTATAATTAACTAAAATTAGATAAATTAAATGATTTAATTTATTATCAATTCAATAATTAATTAATTTATATTTAAAGATCGGGTATATTGTTTAACAACGTGTCATGATCCTCAAAATATTAGAAAAGTTATCAATAATTTGATTTAAACTTTTAGTTACCGGTTTCTTAGTGTAATTAATATTCTTTCATCAATAATATTCCGGCTTATATTAAGAGCTCGTTTGGGAACCGCATTCTAAAAAATTTTGATTTTTTTTTATATTTTTAGATCATTTTGATATGTTGATATCAAAAATAATTTTTTTAAAAAATATTTTTTTGATACATTTCTAAGTGAAAAACACTTTGAACCGCAATCGCTACTACAATCTCAAACAAGCCCAAATCATGAAGTATATCAACCATATTAATTTGACTTCAATTTTTAGTTATCAATTTCTTAATGTAATTAATATCCTTTCATTAATAATATTCTGATTTACATTAAGAGCTCGTTTGGGAACCGTGTTTCAAAATTTTTTGATTTTTTTTATGTTTTCAGATCGTTTTGATGTGCTGATATCAAAAATATTTTTTTAATGCATTTCTACGGGAAAACCACTTTGAATTACAACCACCACTACAATCTCAAACAAGTCAAAAGCATTGAATATGTTAGCCATATTAAATCATATTTATTTTTTACATAATAGTCATTGCTTGTTTAAATAAGATTTAAATCTTTTTTAAATTTTATTTCACCTTACTCAAGGATTTCTTAGTTAATATTATTTAAGAACAAATAAAATATTTTTTTAATTCACCTAGAGTGATAAATAATTTCTTGATCACTCGGGTATCTTCATATAATTCATATTATACCCAATATCTACCCTTTCATTACCTTGATTAATATAACATATAATAAAATCAAAATATAACATTCTTTATATAAGATAACTTATATAAAATTTTCATGCAAGTTAATATAGTATACATATTTTATGACAGATACTTACATATTAGTTTTACGTATTTTTTATACCTTGACTTATAAAAACAATTGTTTCTTTTTGTAAAAAAAAAAAAATATATATATATATATAATATATATCAGTCTCTACGACTTTAATGAATATTCAATATTCAAGAGAATGTTGACTAAAAACATTTTAGAAATAATATTTTAATACAATATAATACTTATAATTATAATAATTTTATAATGTTTTTTGAATAATATTTTTGTCCCATAAACTTTATCTTTATTCTAAATCATTAATATAATATTATATGAATATTAAAAATAAATAAAAATTTTATTAATAAAAAATATATATTAATATAAATATAATAATACCATAATAACCGATTGATTAGCGATAAAACATATTAAACTAGCCATACCTATAAAAATATAAAAAATAAAAAATTAAGGAAAGGAGAACATAAAACAAAACAAAACTACATTTCATCTAACTTAATTAAGCTGTCGAAACTGTTCTAATTGTCTCGTTCTCGGTGTATGCCCTTCATAATTTGAGAGTTCCTCCTAAGAGTAAACTGCATATTCTTAGTTAACCAAAATAACCTGCTTGCATTCTTTCTAGTGTGCTAACGGATTAGTATAACCCAAAGAAACAATTGGTCTACAGCTAAACCTGTTTAATGTCCACCAATATTCTCGAAACCAATGCCCACACAAGTGACCAACATCTACATTTTATATTGATGAACATGAAATATGCACAAGCACTTTTCAGGCAGCGGCAAATGACATCTAAATTAAACCACAAACCTTCACGTTTAAAAACTAAAGAAGCAAATTTTACAACACTCTGATACATATGTTAAAGTCGATTCAAGAGCACAATAACAGCAACAAAGTAATGCGAAGACCTTTCATGCTAAACTTACAAAGCAAATCTACTTTTCTGCTTGCAAAGAGCTTTGCTTACATGTACACCACAGCAAATACTATTATGTCCAATAGAGGATCACTTAAGCTATTGCGATCAGGCACAAAAACAACCTCAGACCATCTTAATATTGGTAGTCATCTCATCTACACTACAGCGGCCAAACTTTTCTCAATAAAATTTGCTATGATTGAAGGACTTCCAATATCCAAGCAAGCTGGTCAGCATCTGATACAGGTGAAGTCATCACATTGAACCATGTAAGTTGATTGACAAGGTGGGCAGAGTAGTGGGGATGTCATGCTGCAATTATAAAGTTATCTATAATAGCAACTCAGGTGATGATTTCTCTGACCAGCCAATCCAGACTAGGTAAGGAAAAGTACAAGATGATAAAAGAAGGGAGGGCAAACACAAGAGTGATAAGGATGTAGAGGGCTAAGATCGCGGGACTAGTGGGTATTGCATACAAAACAATCAGAAGAAACATGACGATTAATGGAAACTTAGCTGTCATGTGAGCAAAAAGTACCAGAGACTTACGGAGTGATAAGTGAAGTCTCTCAGCATTGAAGTAGCTAGGGTCGCGGTTAGGTAGGGATTGTTCTGGAGGGATTTGAACATGCATGGCATGCCTGTTCCTTACTTGGGGGTTAACCTGATTTCCTGTGGTTGGATTATTGTTCAAGGGAGCGACAGGCTGATGATCACTATGGAATGAGGAGAAAGATGACCTATCACCATTCATGCTCTCAACCATCCACAAAAGAAAATAATTTTTAGAAGGGAATCTGAGAATCCCCTTGTAAACAAGCCTGAATGATAACATATTACACCATGGGCAAGAGATGAAAAACGGAAGCAGGATAGGTAGTGTGGGGAGTTTAACAAGGGCCCATTGCAGGCCTAGTACACAATTCTTACAGAGGCTGTGACCGCACCATAAAACGTAAGGAACATTCTCCACAATATTGAAGGATTCCCAGCAAATTGGGCATTCCAATCTGTCCTCTCTGCTACTGTTTAAAGACGGTTCATCATCTGAGCACTGACCTGAAAGAGCTTGCCTTGGCTTTAAAAAGTCATGCTTCAACCTAATGGTTCCTCTAATAAATTTGGAAGCAAAATCCAACATTCTGTCTGAGAGTGAAAACAAGTAGTTAGACTCAGGAAAAAAATACGTTTTGAACACACCAAGTTGAAGCAAGAAGAAACATTAACAGAACAGAGAGCTGCAAAGGTTATGAACTGGGTATGGCCAAGAGTTGATGAGACCATAAACTTGAATACATAACAAACTGGATCTATGGATGCTACCTACCAGCAACATGTATCAGTTTTGATAGAAGAAACTCTTGTTTGGAAATGGAACACCTACTTCAACAATTGAAGAAGCACCAAGTACCAAATACTAACAATTCGCTGCCATTTCTAATAATCTTCATATTTCTTTCATGAAACAAAATTTGGAAAAAAAAAAAAAAAGGTATTAAGGAAATAATTATACATCATTCTCAAGAACAAAAAAAAAGAAGAAGAAGAAAGAATTATACATGGATTCAGAAAAATATTAACTTATGAATAGAAGAGTCTTGTGTTAGTATGAACAGATAGATTTCAGGAGATTTAAAATTAAAATTTCTTATCAACAAAAACAATTATTTTAAAGACCCAATTACCAATTAAAGAATTAATTTACAAACTGAATTTACCTGACTAAGATAAATAATTCTTCACTGCTTGTGTCCTTGGTTTTTTTATCCAAGAGTTGAAAAGGAGAGAGACGCGTCGAGTCTCTAATTCTAATCGCGACACAAGAGAAACATTTGAGGATGATGATTACCGGATAAACATTTGAGCATTGATCTCGAGTTGCATAAATTTGGATTACGATTCA